TGGTACCATGCAGTGTCAGCCAGATTGCTGGTGGTGGAAACCAATCCACATTACAGATGCCCTTTAGTAATTGCCAAAAGCATTGTGCTACTTTTGTACTAAGCAAGCTACTTCACGATGGTTAGTCAGTGGACAACACTTGGCAAATTGCTCTTATTACCAACGTATGGAGGAAGCCTATGACAGTACAGTGAGGCTATGTGCGCGTAGGCTGATCAAATCGGCACAAAAATTGCAAAGATTTGGGGCTGAGACTAGTCTAACAATTTGGTCGGCATCCCCATTTGTAAAAGCTTTAGTCTAAATGACCTATTTCAGAACTTTTTTTATGCGATAGAAGGAACAAGTCCGCACGTATATGTTTTACGAGCAGACAGACTCTGCAACGGTTGTACACAGTTACAGCCAATCAAAAGTAGGATGACTATCTTTTTCCGTATGCAAAGCTTCAAGGGCTCTTACTTTAGAAAGTACGCAGACTCGGGCCACTTGTCTTACAAGAGAGCTTCTCTCAAAATAAACCTTGCTGACGTCTTGCGAGCCACTCCATGGACGTAAGTGAGGGATTCTCTACCACTTACATGCATACTCTCCCGTCTCCCATACCATCCATTAACCTTTTTTCAGTACTTAAATTGACTCAACTCGACTCTTGGTCTTTTCTCTCCCACTCTCACGAGACGAAAAAACCAAAAACAACACCAAAACAGGCTTCTGTGTACAAGCATGCTATCCCTCCTCATTGCTCTTGTGACTTGGGCATACTGTATGACAACCTTGTCCTTAAGCAAGGCACTTAACCATGATCGCTTCGTCCTTCGGATGGGACGTAAAGCTGTAGGTCCCGTGTGTTGTATAAATGCACGTAAAAGAACCCAGCAAACACTTAAGGGGTTTTGCCCCGGTGTTTCTGGCAGTTATCCTTATGCATACACCGTGAAGCTGTACGCGATAGCCACGCTAGGTGTTTGTACAGAAGCTAATTACAGATACAACCTTGAAAATTGATTCCAGATACTGCTTGGGAATCGGGTCCTTCTTACTGTTAAAAATGTCTTGCTTCTTGCAGGAATTAGCTGAAACAATCGACCGATCCTCGTATTAACGGGACCTGAGTGGGATCCTTGCCAACAAACAATGAAGAGGTAGGTAACCATGGTAAGAATTGGAAGAAGTGTAATTTTTGTGAGTCCCCCCCCCCCTAACAATGCACCAAACAACCAATAAAAAACATCACAAGAAACCAATACTTTTAGTGGAAGGAAACATGGTTGGGCTTAGAAATTGATATTTAGACCGACAGACAACATACCCAACGTCAATAACTTTCAGCAGGTATAATTTTTGTGAGTCCCCCCCCAACAATGCACCAAACAACCAATAAAAAATATCACAACAAACCAATACTTTTAGCGGAAGGAAACATGGTTGAGCTTAGAAATTAATATTTAGACCGACAGACAACATACCCAACGTCAATAACTTTCAGCAGGGAAAACATCTTTAAATTTTGTTGAAAATTCATTTGACCTTCCTTTACTTTACTTCACTCACTAACTCACGTTTCAGTCAATTCTATTTAGTGACCCCAGACCCTCCCCCCCCAAAAAAAACCCCAATTATATACGCTCTCTGAAAATTCTCCGTATACACGTTTACACAGACTCGAACACACACCAAGAAATCAATGCAAAAAACTACCGTTGTGTCCCAAAACACTCGGCAAAAAGGACAAACAGGCTCATTAAAATAATGTATGGCATAATTTCTTTGCCATCCTACCTCTAGTTTTTCGAGGGGAGGTAAGCATTGTATATCACTGGCCCACAATGTTTTGAATCTTTTCCAGCTGAGAAGCAACATCTAAAGTTTAAAACGGAAATCTGTATTTGTACCAAATTTCTTCTGAGGTCTCCATGGCTAACAACCCTGTCTTAAAATAAATGAATGTGGCAGCTCTGACGAACATCATATTGAATTTGCCAAAGCATCTGCAACATCACCAGACCCCTTCCCCCTCCCCCACCCCTTCTCCACCCCCTCAAGAAGGTTAAGGAGAGTGTCCATCCCATGTGCAAAATCACTTTGGACCTCAAAGAAAATAAAATTCAAACAAGCCCCAAGGTTATTAAATTCAGAGAATGAGCATATGTAATGTTTCAAAGTATTCTTGACCATATTTTTCTATACGAAGAAACGACCCACTCCTGCTTGTTAGAGTAGTCATAAAACAGGCTTTCACCAACACTTTTCTCTCACATTTTAACATCATCATCATCTCTGTCCTTCTTAAAGCCGACAAAATAAATCCACACACTTATTCCTCACAACAAAGCCAGAATTAGGTATATAGGGCACACTCACACAATCACCGCACCACTAGCACTTTGGATAGTGTTTGGGACCTTCTACCAAATATCACACTGCGTTATGATTTTAAAGGTAGCCTACATTTGGTTAATTTCCAAACAAGTGTAATACTGCTACTGTTATAAATAAACAAAGCTGTTCTCCTTAAACAACTGCTTTCCACTTAAACAACTTTTTGAGTATTGGTCTCATAACTGCGTGTCTTGTTTAAAGATGCATTATCCGTGCTATTCTGAGTTTGACCACAAATACTATAACATTTGTCACATTTGAATGAGACATCGAACGAAAAAGAATCCCCCAACATTAAGTTATTGAATTATTTCTTTACCAAATTTGAGTCATGTGTAGCTCAACGATAATTCGGCTCTCGCAGGGCTGGTTTATTTGTGCGCAAAATGAAAGCAGATGCCTCAAATCAGTTTTGTTTTCTTCGTTAAAACAAAACATACAAGTTGAAAAGTTGTAAGAAGAAAATGTGTATTTTCATGAAGAGCAAGGGGCACGCATCTTTAATTAAGTTACAGTGTAAACATCTGTAGAAATTTTTCAAAAAGTGTGTTAAGGTACTTCTGTAAATTGCTTCCCTTTTTTCTATTCGTCTCCTTTGTTGACATTTTCTGACAAGTCCCATTTGCTTTTGTTTAATTCTTTAATTCTTTTAATTGGGTCTTCAAATTCTTCTTGTTTACAAGAACGTTGAGTCCCCAAAATAAGTCAAACCAATGCATGCCTCAATAGTTGATGCTAAATATCTGCGAAGACTATTTACTTTCAAGCAGACCCAGGTAAAAAAAGTAGGATCAAAATTCCCAAAAGAAAAAAACAAGGACAAAAGTCGGACTTTGGAGGACAAAATCAGGAGAAAAGTAGGACTTTTGCTGGCTTTCAGGAGCAGCTTTCGCTGATACTCACCCATGTCCACAGCATCATAAGCCTCATTTGGCATGTTCTGTGCTCACAGCACTTGTGCTCCATCCTCAACTAAGCTCTTGGAAGTACAGTTGCAGTACTCCTGCGCCCAAGCCATTCATTGTATGATTTTACATAATGACAGTGTGTGTAAACACTGTTATGAAAAATATTCAATGAGATTTCATTTTTCAGAGCTGTGGGACAAACAATTAGGAAAAAATGGGGAAAAATTGGAATTTCAAGAAAACAGTAGGGAAATTAGGAACAAGATAACAAAAAAAAAACAGGGAAAAGTAGGAATTCTTGAAAGCCTGCTGTCATAATAATATCCCCCCCTCCCCAAAAAAGTCTTGAGGTTCTCTGTTTCTAACAGGAATGCTATATAGGCTAATCTACAATAAAATCTACACAATAAATTATCTGTGATATGGCCACTTGTAAAAATCCTGTGCAGTATGGTCAAAACACAACATTGACAGGAAAAAAAAATATATTTATTGTATTTACATTATGAACGGAACAGATCTGCAGCCAAAATTGCCGATCTCCAATAAAACCTAAAACTCAAAGTACGCACATATAGTATACAAGGCACCAGTATTAAAAAATATACGTTCTATTCTTATAGTAACTATCTTATATTTCGTCAACCCTGTTTAAATAATATTTTAATAGTATTATAATATAGCTAAAACAATGATACATTTCACAATACATTGTATATCCTGTTTCAGTCAGGGAAATATATACATTGTAGTATATATATATAAAATATCGGTGGTCTATATTTGTTTTGTTCCCCAATAGAACATCAAATACTTTTGTATAATATTTACAATGGAATCAGTAGAAGCTATGGATGAGGTAATATATACCCTACAAGTTCTGAAACTTGTTCTAAAACTATACAAGTTCAGAAACGAGTATATCCCATGTCCCAACATTCACCAAAGACTGGCAAGCTGCATACAAAAATGAACAGTTTCTTTTATACAGTGTGATGGTAATGCCAGGTACAGGGTGGTTCAAGAAGAAGGAAACCCACTTCTGACTATTTGAAGTTTTTTTTTGTAAAAAATAATATAGTGCAGTATCCGCTCCATTCACAAGTACCCCCTCACCGGCAAAGAAGGAACAGTTGGGGGTGACCGACCAACGCCATCTTGCCCGACTGCAATTTTTCCGCAACGCGTGGCCGTACCACTGCGTGTACATAGTACAAATCCCCTGGTGTACATGTACGTGCTTCACACACAAGCAACAGTGCGCGTCAACCAGCTAAATGTCCCGCCCATGGGACGTCCTTGCTAGGTAAAAGGGCACCCTCTTTCGTTGGTGCACGGAGCCCATAGCTCTTCAACCATACACGGTGGAAAAAAATCTTTTTAAAAAGTCGCAAGAATAATGTTATTATGCTAATTTGAATTCAAGTCACCCACATCACTGTTGTCCATGTGTAAGTCTAATGTAGGGTTATCTTCAAATCAAGCTCTGGAGCTCAGTCAAGCAGATGGAATAAAGCCGTCCGTGGACAGACAGGTTTGGCACATGAATTTTTTAACCCACCATCTCTCAGAGACAAAATGTGCATTTGCCCTCAGTTTTTTTACACTTATGTTTAAAGATCAATGTTTTAATACCATTAAATTGAATTTTTGAAATGTGCTCAGCAAGTAGGTGAAAATTGGTATCAAATGTGGGTTTCCTTCATTTCGCACCACCCTGTATTTCAATATATTCGTCCAATTGACAAACCACCTGAAAATCGATGCTTTTATTTACATGTAAGTGGAATACATTTTGGAAAACTGATCTCTCAATTTTGTTTATATAAATTTTAATACAGATTTATACAACACTTTCTCTCGGCTTACATAAGATATCGCTTTTGCTGGGACTACTGGGTACTTCGTTGTAGCTGTTGTTTTGCTCGGATCTTGTAAGGTGGACCAGCAGGCTTCCAAGGCCTTGGCTCTTTGTCTTTTGGGAGTCTGGCTCGGCCGCACAAATCTCGCCGGAGTTAAGTTTGTGAGGGGATTCTGGGAGAAACTTCATGTATTCGGTGGAATCGGGAAACGGGGAGGAGGCCGTGCCCAGACCAGAATCGCAGTCGGGGTTGTCACTGCCGGTGGCCGGCACTGTGACCAGTTCCAGTTCCTGCGGCCTGTGCAGCAAGGGGGAGGGATTGGCAGATGAAAGCTGATCCCGGACAGGATTGTCATGAGAGGACCTGAGAAGCCTCTCAGCTTCACTGATATCTTCCGACGCCTCATCCTTGGATGAGTTCGGATCATTGAATGACCTCGGCGAATCAAGGAGACACTGCGCCTCCATCTGGTCTGGACCTTTTTGGGATCTGAACAGCGTGGATGAGGGATTCCAGGGATCTTGGAGGGCTCTTATCTGGTGCTGGAGGTCCCCGTCCTCTGCTGACGTCGCTGATGTCGAATCTTTGCCGGGATTCTCACTCTGTGGAATGATGATGCGGATGGCTCCGCTGTGCACGCTGTTCCCCTGGTGTAGACGCTCAGAGCTCTTACTGATCGGGGAGGTGACCCCTGGAGCACTCAATACTGAGGTGAGTGGCTTCTTCCTGCCCATCTTGTGCAGAAGGCCTTCTGTCACTGAGTGGCTACGCTTGTGGCGATGGCCCAGTGGGCTTGAGCGAGCTGGTGATGGCTGCCCGGAATCCCCGGCTGGGGTTTTATTTGGGCTGCGGTTGGAGAAAAAAGGGATGGGAATGGAGAACTTACGTCTGGTCTTGGCTTTGGGCTTGTAATCATGGGTTTTTCCCCTCACATGGGCAACAAGGTCCAGTAGGGGGGATCGGGAACCCCGGCGTGGGTCAGCCAGGGTCTGGTTGCTGGTGTTGGGATCCAGCATTGTCGAGGAATCGGAGTGCGAGTGATCATGGGAACAGGAGCCATTGGTATTAGAGGTTTCCGTTGCCCGGGGATCGGCCAGGCTACTAAAGTTGGACACTGTGTAGACATTGGAGGTCTCCGCATTTTCAGTCTTGAAAGAGACGAGGCAGGGGTCTCCTGTCAGGTCCTGACTGATGCTGCCATTGGTTCTCCAGCGCAGCTGTGATGTCTGATGGGCTTGGGTGCTCCTCATTGAGGGGTGACGGCCAAGGCTTAGGGTGATCGAGCGTGACATGCTGCGCTGCCTGAAGACTCGGTTGCTGAGGGACCGCATGATGGTCTTGCAATCCTTCTTGAACTGCTTGGTCAGGATGGTGTACAGGAACGGGTTGGCACAGGAATTCAGTGGCAGCACAAAGATGGTCAGCACCTTGGCCCCATCAAGGGAGATTAGCCGGAGCCCAAAAGCCGCCGTCAGACTGAAGAAGGCGATGGGAGCCCAGCAGGCGAAGTCGGTGAAGACCAGGAGGGACATCCTGCGTGCCACGCGGGAGTCGTTGCAGTTCCAGGCGTGGGAGCCCTGGATGGCCAGGTAGATGCTGGCATAGCAGGCCATGATGATGACAAAGGCTAGGATGTTGAGGATCAGGATGCTGCCCACGTAGACCTTAGCCACTGTGGTGTCCACATCAAATGGCAGGCAGACAGGGAACCGGTGGTAATGGCTGACATTGACCAGCGGTAGGACCGCAGCCGTCACGGAGAAGATCCAGCCAAAGCACATGACAGTGATGGCATGGGGCAGCTTCATCCGCTTCTCTAAATGGAGGGCATGCTTGATGGCATAGAAGCGCTCCAGGGTGATGACAGACAGGGTGTAGATGGAAAACTCCGAGGAGAAGACTGCCAGGAACCCGGCCAAGCGACAACCAGCACTCAGCTGCCAGCGGGCGCCAAACTTGCGAAAGACGCCCAGCGTGGAGGTATCCACCCCCGCCAGAAACCCCAGGTACACGCCCAAGAAGAAGTCGGCAAAGGCCAGGTTGCAGATCAGGAAGCGAGGCACGTCCATCTTCGTGTGACTGACGATGATGACGAAGATGACGATGGCGTTGCCAATTATCGCCAGGAGGAAGACGAGCCAGACGCCAATGCGAAGAGGCCAAGAGCCAAAAAGATCCACGCAAGGCATGAAGGGCCCTAAAATACACAACAAAACACAGCAGCAAATTAGATCAGGATAAGGCAGATTTAAAATCTTTCTCAAAACCACGTTTATGCAAAACCATAATTAAAAGACTTATGAAAGAACAGCGCCCACTCAAGCTTGGGGATTTGAATGTACTCCCACCATGACACACAACATATTTGCAAAATATACCAAGTGCATTCATGGGCGTCACGAGGGAGCCCCCCCCCCCCCCGAAAAAAAAAAAAAACCAAAAGAAAAAGAAAAAAGAGGTGCGAAGCCTTATTGCTGTTAATTTTATGGGGGGGGGGGGTATAGGGCAAATGCTCCCCTGCTCACGCTCGGAAAAATGATAAATTGAGGATATAATGAAAAAATTAAGGAATTTGGGGGGAAAATTTGCTTTGCCCCCCCCCCCCGGAAAAAATCCTGGTGATGCCCATGAGTGCATTGATTACGGAGGTCAGCCATTGATCAACAATGCTTTTCAGTTCTTTCACAAAATTTGTTTTGAACGATGAGCACCCTTTGGAACAGCCAGCGAAAAGTTTGTGTAGGCAAAACAGCTCCCTCTGTAGACCAATCCTGGCACAGTAGTTATACCTTCACGGTGGTCCTGGTTGATATAGAAGCAATTTGAACCTAGATTTTACCAATCTAAATTTTAGTGCACGAGAGCAAAGGGATGTCTCCACAAGGATACAAATTCTAGTATGTGTGCTCTCACAAATGTGACAAATAAAAAAGTGCCGTCTACAATCCGTAGGCGGAGTCTACTGGGGGGGGGGGGGGTGGGGGAGAGAAGGGGGGCCTTTCACATAACATCAAGGTTTACCTGGCTTAGGTCTGCAGCTGATGTTGTGTGGCACCAACAAACGGCTGTAGTTGCCATTCAGCCAAGTTTGCGAGCCGATGAACAATGAACCGAATCCAGGGCTGGAGTCAATCCAACTATCGGAGTTGATGTCAAAGGTCATATTGTAATCTTGGAGAGAACAAAAGACGGCCAATACAAGCGTAAATTAGGACTTATGACATTGTGAACATGGAGTTGTAATAATGCCACATAAATATTTATACGTAGGGTTTGGAAAATGTGGATTGCATGACAAATTAGTTGATTATTAAATTGTATAGAACAGATGATCATTTTTTTTAGTATGCACAGCCAAAAAACAACCAACAAAAAACCAAACAAACGCCCCCAACATCCAACAAACAAAACAAAACCAGAAAAAACCCCAAAAATGTGGGTTCTAATGAAAAGGCATTAATAATAATAATAATAATAATTTGGGAGGCTAATCATCCTTACTCGCAGCTGGTATGCTGAATTGCGAAGGACGCAGCTACAATGTGGTCGGGCCGCTGGCATATAAAGGCGCCTATAGCTGCCGGCCACATCGACCCATATATGACCACGGAGCACAGCCTGAGATCAAAAGTGTTTGATTTTTCCGGAGGGAGGAAAACCGGAGGGCCCGGAGAAAAACCCTCTTGGCACAGGAGAGAACCAACGCACAACTCTACCCACATGCGATCCGCGGCCAGGATTCAAACCGTGGTCACCTTGGTGAGAGGCGAGCGCTTTACGCACAAGCCACCCATACCACCCAAATTAGATGATTATGAAAGTGTAGAACAGATGATAATTTTTCAGGATGCACAGCCCCAAAATAACCCCAACCAAACAAACAAAAACCCAACACAACAATCCAACAAACAAACAAAAACAGAAAAAATTCCAATGGGAGAACTCACAGTCCGGCACAGATCCAGAAGCCCAATATGTTGTCTCACTGATATTTGGCTGTGCAAGGCAAGAAAAGAGAAAGATGTTACACAGGCTCATAAGGCAAAAAAACAAAAGTCTCCGGTTTCTGGTATGGAGCTTGCCAAAAAAGTGGTGCGGCGACGCAGCTTTTTTTTTTTTTTTAAACTTTTTTTTTCCTTCAAATGTCGGCTGATGACTGCAAATGATGCCCGACTAAACTTAGTGCAAATATATGGGAGTCCAGAGAGGCCACATAAAGCTTATTCTCGATCATAACCCCATCTAAAAACATGTTAAAATTGTGCAGCAGCAGGATTCCAGTCAAACCAGTGAGATTGGCGGTTGTGAGGCATCATCTTTCATTGAAAAAACCCCCACTTTTTCATTTTGCCGACACGCATGGCTACGGCAACGTGGGCACATACCTGAAGCCGGAGACTTTTTTTTTGGCCTAAAACTCTAGAATTCTTGCATAAAAAGTCAACTCTTTGTGTACGTTTTTGTTTTTATCTTTTAATGAAATTTTCATTCCATCTCTACCTTTTTAATGCATTCGTGTACACATACTTTTGTGACAATTTTCATATACTTCTCAAAATTTATGTATATCGTTTTTCCAATGTCTGCATGCGGGACAGCAGATCTAAGGATTTTTCGTTTTCTTCAGTGATATTTTGCTTTGTTTTTGCTTTGTTTTTCCTTAGATTCAGCGCTTTTTTTTTTTTTAATGAAATTTGTTTATTGTTATCTGCCTTATAATTTTTTTTTTTTTATTGGTTAAATAATAATTTTGTCATGTGGTTGCAACTGCACCAATTCTCTCTTTTCACGCTCCGCCATTGGGCATGCACAGCCTCGATCTGGCAGCTTGACAAAATAAAAATAGCCGGTTCAGTGATCTGAACCCCGACACGGGAATCAGTGAACCAGCTATATTTATTGTGTAAAGTTGCCAGATTGAGGATCTGCATGCCCATGGCGGAAGTGTGAAAAGAGCGAATTATGGGAATCTCTGTTTTAGTTTGTGTGTCCCTGAAAGGGAAGGGTGAACACGACATATCAATCAGCACGTTTTGACCATCTTCACGACACCACAACTGGGTTTAGGAAGGAAGACGGGAAGATTTTGGGGGTTAAAAAAAGGGGGACTTTACCCTATCTGCAAGAGACTGTAAGTACTCCTCAGCAAGTTCAATGTACTCGCAGCAGTGGTAGGGATAAGCGGTTGCGATTTCAGTGATGCTCGGGAGCTCGGAGGGTGGGGGAAAGTCCTCCAGTTGCTCGTTGTCGTAAGTGCGGATCTTGAGCAGCATCTGCAGGCCGGCGGTCGGAAGGACGGGGAACGAGTTGTTGCTCAGGTCTCTGCAGACAAATTACAATCAATCGCCAGCCTGTCATTAGTCAGTCTCAAGACAATTTAGTGGTCAGAAGAAGTCCACCAGCAAATGACAACTCAAGCAGAAGTCCATTACAAGTCAGGGCTGTAATGACTCGAGTCAGCAAATCGACTCGAGTCCGACTTGAGTCACAATTTTAGGTGAGTTGACTAAACTTGAGTCCCAACGGGTAATTGACGTCACTCGAGTCACTGCGAGCAAATGACTCAACTTGAGTCACAAAATTCAGTGACTTGTTACAACTCTGTCACAAGTCGAACAGAAGTCACATTCTGTCTTCGCAAGTCAGAAACAAGTTTTCACAAGTTTGTTTGTTTTTGCGAGGATCTAGGGTCACCGCAGAAACACGTACCGCCATTATTTTGTTTATATCATTTTAAAGCTCGGTATCTTAACTTTATCCCTGCCAACTATTGGTTCGATTTTCAAGGGTTTTGAAATTATTTGTGTTCAAATAAAGGCATGTCAAAAAAAACAAACTAAACTGATTTCAAGGAAAATCAATCATGCACATTTTTTTCTGAAGTGGAAATACTTCATGTTCATGATATGACAATCTTATCGCCTGTTACTTTCTGTGTTTCCTTTCTTTCGATCCACATAGACTACAACTTAAATAAATTCACAATGTTGTTCTTCGTTTCAATTCAATGTCTTTTTAACATAAATCACCTGTTTTGGGGGGGTTATTGCAATAGCTTGTTGACTCGGGTTTGCATCTGATGTACCGCATCATCAATGTTCATTTAAATCGGTTGAGTTTGTTTTTGATATGCCTTTATTTGAACACGACTAAATTTAAAACTCTTTAAAATATCAAACCAATACTCGCCAGGGATAACGTTAATGATGCTCACGCAATGGCTTTGTAGACACTCAGAATAAAATGAGTCGTGCGTTCTTTGCCCTACACACACGTCAACCTGTCTGTACTTGTTCTTCATAGCCCCCGAGGACAGACACACAAAGGGAGAACAAAGATCCTTTCAGTTCTCAGGCGTTGGGTCTTTTGTTCAAAACGGTCCTATGTAGTAGGTTTGTGTGCTATAGTCAGTGGGAGGGTGTTATATTACAGGGACAAAGGAAAACACAAAGCATTGTCTTCGGGAGTATAATAAAACAAGAGTGGGTGTGCATTCAGTGTCTCTTGTTCATCAGGCTCTTGGAAGTGGCCAAAAAGTGCCCTCACTTGTTTGCCAAAAGTGCCCTCACTTGTCATCACATTATCAATCAGTAAAAGCCATACTCACAGGTATTGCAGACTTGTACATGAGGCAAAGGCCTGGCTGTCAATCTCACGGATTGTATTGTTATTGAGCGATCTGCAAATTACCAACAAAAAAAAATCAAGAAGGCATTGTAACGATTGAATTCTCTCCTTACAAATACAAAGGATCATTTGCACTTCATGCGGCTGAGCAGCTCCAGTTATCACGTTTCTCCATTAGTTTGTTGGTTGCGACATGTGTGGTATGTGTATGCCTCAGCCAGTTGCATATCCACAGAGGGGCCTGGGGGACACGTGCCCCCAACCAAAATACTGATAATGTCCCTTTACCTTCACAAGGGGTTTTGTAAGGCGAGCCCTCAAATTAGAATCCCTCCCCAGACCCTTCGGGGTTGAGCCCGCCCAGTATGTTGAAGGGATTGGGACCTTGCATGGAACCGATCGGCATGGATTAACTCCACCAGGCTTCTGCACCATGGCTCTGGCTCATCACAAAGGAACCAATTTGTGACGGGCTAATCCTCCAGTAGTCAACAATGACTGTGAGCTTCAAAGAAGTTGCCGCTGGTAATCCCGCATACCCTTGGCTTAAAAGACAGGGACAAGTATCGGAGTATGTGCATGTATAAGCCTATTGAAGAAATGCAGATGCAGGCAAAAAGTTCGAAAACACATTTTAGGTTTTTTTTTTATTTCTGAAGCCCTACAAAAGAAAAAAATCAAAATATATTTTCATAAAACACCGAAGTGAATTAAAACGTAAATTAAAAAATCCGGCCAGTACTTAACGTTAATGACTGAAAACTAAAAGCAAAAACCTTTAAGTCTTACTTTCCACTCCATAGTTTATTACGCCCAGCGGGCCGAATAATCCTCCAACAATGGCCAGACTTCAATTTATGTTGCCTATTGTGAAACCCTGAGTCACCAGTTTGGACCGATTGGGGCATCACGCTTCAGTAACCGGGTGGCTTCTGGCTTCATACCGATTGGGGTAAAAGAAATTAGCATACCGGACCCGGTACCCGAACGGTCTGTTATCTGATGGCTCGCCTAAGTTGTATATTTTCAGTTAGCCAAAGGCTTACTGTTTGCAATTTCTTATGTCAATGGATATAGCAAGGCATTACGAGGCCCAACTAGGAAAACTGCAATAGGACATTTGCGATTATGTGCCCCCATGATATTCTGACGCAGCCCTGTGCCCCCCTCCCCCACTAAAAGAATCCTAGCTACGCCACTGGCCGCAGCTAAATTCTTATCGGAACATAGCACTCACCTGCTTTGTTGCAATTAGAAGTGTAGTAAATACGCAGCAACAGGACCATTTTCAAACAATACATTTTAAAGTATTTCGAGACCACAATTATTGAATAATTATGAATTACACTGGAGCTATACAGTCCACTGAGAGCTTGTTTTCCTTCAAAATTGCATCGCACGACCGCCATTTTGTTTAACGTTTTAACAAATTTCGAGCTGAGATCCGACGACTCTTTGTTGAATATCAGATGACTATTTACTGTACGCTGACTAAATACAAAAAACAGTCACCGAGTTGTGCTATAAATACACCTACGACGCGTCGCACTTAAGACGTGTTTTGTGAAATGGATCGCAGGACGCATCGCAGCTGCGAAGAGTTTGATGAAATCGGGTGCAGACTCAATATAATGCTGCTGCTGTGGGGGATCGCCAAACCTCCTCCACAGCGAGTCTGTTACCTTCCCAGCATTGAATAATGCCGGTACCCATTTAACACCTGGGTTGAGAGGAGCAATTGAGGTAAAGCACCTTACTCAAGGGCACAACACGCATGGCCATGGCGAGGCGCGAATCCACAATCCCACAATCACGAGGCCTGTGCTCTACCGCTAAACCACACATTTTACTTACAACGGCACGTGTTTTACTTACAAAGTGTCCAGGTGAGACAGACTTTGGAAGGCATCTGCTGGGATGTACGAGATGTCGTTTTCCTTAAGCTGCAAGTCGTACAGATCGTGAAGGCCAGAGAACGGCTGACCCTCGAGCGATGTTAGCTTGTTTGTACCAAGATGACTGTCAATTTAAAAACAAAAACAATTTGAAACGCCGTTTGAAACGTTGAATTATATATTTTGGTTGTATTATGGGAACAAAGAAAAACACAAAGCCATGTCCTCGAGAGTAATGGAAAAACACGATCGTGTGCACAGGCAGCATGTCGAATGCAGAGCTTTCACCAGTGGTCAAAGAGCGCGGTCAACGATTAAAGCTGATATGAAACATACCTCATACTGTGCAGCAGTCATAAAGCAAATGATCGACTTGAAGCAGAACAACAGTTAGTAATGATGAAGAGAGGTTTGCGGAACATGCATGTGCGAATATTTTCTCATCTAAGAGAATATGGTTCTGAAAAGAACCAGAGGTATAAACTTGACGTTCCGGTCAGTATGCTCTGACCGTCTTGATCTTAAGGAGAACAAATTGGGCCATTTTAGTTCCGTTAAAAAAAAAGAAGCTTTAATTGGCCCTTATTCACAGAGCCGTTTGAAATGTTGATTTTTTTTTTTATAATTTTTTTTAAAGAACAAAGGGACACACAAAGCCTTGTCCTCGAGAGTAATGGGAAAATACGACTGTGTGCACAGGCAGCGTGTGCAACGCACAGCTTTCAGCAGTGGTCAAAAAGCGCCCTTAACTGTACGCATTACCTCAGTATTGTCCAGGTTGATGGATTCATCAGGGAATAAATATGTGGGGTAATAGAAGGGGTTGATATAGAAGGGGTAATATAGAAGGGATAATAGAAGGGGTAATAGAAGGTAATGGAAGAACTACTAGTCTTGAAGGGGGTAATTGAGGGGGTAATTGAAGTGGTAATAGAAGGGGAAATGAAAGGCTAATAGAAGAGGTAACCACAGATAGAATGGGTAATAGAAGGGGTAATGGAAGGGGTAACAGACGGGCTAATAGAAGGGGTAATAGAAGGGCTTCAATAAAAGGGCTAAAAGAAGGGTTAACAGAAGGGGTAATGGAAGAGTAATAGAAGGGGTAATAGAATGGGTAATAGAAGGGATAATAGAATGGGTAATAGAAGGGGTAACAGACAGGTTAATAGAGGGGCTTCAATAAAAGGGCTAAAAGAAGGGGTAACAGAAGGGGTAATGGAAGAGTAATAGAAGGGGTAATAGAATGGGTAATAGAAGGGGTAATAGAATTGGTAATAGAAGGGGTAACAGACGGGTTAATAGAAGGGGTAATAGAAGGGCTTCAATAAAAGGGGTAACAGAAGGGGTAATTGAAGGGTAATAGAAGGGGTAATATAAGTGGTAATAGGTTTAATTGAAAGTGCTCTGGAAATTTGGGAAATGGAAATTGTACTTACAGGACCTCGAGGCTGGAGCATTTGGCAAGACTGGGCAGGCCTTCGATCAGGTTGTTATGGAGATTACTGGCCAAACAAAAGTCAGATTGAAGAGGTCACAAGTGTAATTCAATATTTTTTTGTGAATTTAACAAAGTTGAAGCTATACCTTTTAGAAGACCTAACATTCAGTTATGTATACAGACTAATATATTTTTGGCTTTGTCATATTTTTTTTACATTTTTAATGTATTGCATGTATACTTTTTTTTTTATTGTACACTGGAAAATCAATTTTCAAGTAATGTTGAGCATGACAATAAAGAAATCTAATCTAATCTTATCTAATATACTTACAGTGATGTCAAGCCAGTCATATTGTCACAAAAGTTTGCCGGAATGGCTCTCAATGAGCAGCGTTCAATTCCTCTGTGGAGACGAAGTTCACAAGAAAGTTCACAAAAATCCAAAAAAATCCAAAATGATTACAGTAGGATGGATGTTTCCTAGAAAGAGCCCAGAAAGAGACAGTATAGTAGTGTTTTCTGCAAGGGGTCGGGTTGACCAGGCTAAACTGACCTGAAACATTATAGATGTAAACCGAATCCCAACCGAAACTGATCTGAACTCTCTAAAACCGATCCGACCCGACCCGACCCGACAAAAATTCAAGGAAAACTGACCCGAACCGACCCGAAAAAAAAAATATCGGGCTTGGGCAACTATGTCTGCTTTTTGTGCCTGAACTTAACCTGCGTCGCGTGAAAATCATCGTCTCTTAGTAACTGAATCATGCCGTACGGTACTCAGAACATGACCTACTGGTGGGCCTACATGTACATGTTATAGACCGTGCGTGATAGACCGCAAACCATTTTGGTAGTACCGGGCACTGTGACTCTGCAATAAATATTGCACCGTGTGAATTTCCAAACTGTTTCATTTTTTTCCCCCGTTTATTTCAGTTTATTTCTGTTTTTTTCAAAATGGCTTAACCGACCCGACCCGACCCGACCCGAAAATCGCAAACGCAAAACCGAAACTGCCCGCACCCGACTGAAATGATGGACAAACCGACCCAAAGTTGGTTTTGGTTTGGATCGGTTTCGGTTTTGGGTCGGATTCGCAAAACACTACAGTATGGGTGCCCTTAATACCACGTTTATTTAGCATGTACACTTAGTTCCTTCGGAAATGGACTCCGTGCACGAACAAGAGATGTGGCCCCTTTTTTTTTACCAAGTTTGAGAGCCTAGTGGGCGGGACACACACTGCAGAGGTGTACTGGTTCGTGCAAGTATGGCGCAAAGTAGGCATGACTAATTCATCAGCAACACCACGAACACCCATGTACATAACAGTAAAAACTAGCAATCGGACAAAACGGCATCTAAAGTAACACGTGGAGTGTTACTTTGTGGTGTCGGTGACTAATTTTATTCTCAATGTGCACAAAGACATAGGGTGAGCATCAGGTATCGTCAGCAATGCAGTCAAATGTCTCTCCCAGTGGTCTCCCCTAATTCTCGCTTTGTAACCGTGGGAAGGGGTACCCCCGTACTTGTGAAAGAAGCCCATGTACGTCGTTCAGGGGGATGAATCTGTGTTCACAGGAACGGAGTGCCCATCTCTCTTTCGAACCGATTGGGCCAGACTCGAGTCCATGAAATGCTGCTGTGGGGGATCGCCACACCTCCTCCACAGCGAGTCTGTTACCTTCCCAGCATTGAATAATTAATAATACGACCTTCAGAAAAATTATTTAAAAAACATAAAAATAAAAAATAATATCAGGGGGGAAAAAACCTTATACTGAGCAATACTCACAGATGTTCCAAGCTTGTGGTCCCAGTCAGGTCAGGAAACACGGACAGGTTCTTCACTTCCGATATTATGCTGAAATTTTTTCAATGAACACGGGTAAATATTCACGTTTTGTATTAAGTGGGCTGTTCATTACAACCCACAACATAAGTGGACAATGTTTTGCAGCCCTTCACTGACATGAAACCTTGGAAACTGAGAGAAACAGTTAACTTTTTCCCTAGTTTCCAAGGTTTTGGGTCAGTGAAAGGCAACACCACTAAATAAATATCATTTTCATCTCCCCAACTAAAACAGGATTCCCAGCCACTCAGGAAATCAGGGAAGACCCTTCAAAATGTGCTAATTTATAATAATAATAATAATTCATGCATTTGTATTTCACAAATTCTTTAAAAAATATGATCAAATGGGCAACACAAGTATTATCCCTGTTCATCAGGAATGAGACCCTGCAGCAGCTTGAGAGATCCGCGCAATATGGTCTCTACCTTCACAGGTACCCAATTTATACTCCTGGGTGGAGAGAGGCAATCGTAGCAAAGTGCCTTGCCCAAGCGCACAAGGACCATTCCCTGTCAGGTTCGAACCCATGTACCACGGCACACAAGTCGAACACCGTAACCATTGGACCACATCACCCCAGTATGTGTTTCCATATTTCCAACCAGGGAAAAGTCAGGGAAAACACAACGTGCGTCGGATTGTTCTTCAACGACACATTCAAGCAATCACACCTGACGAGGGGCGGGAGACGCCCGAAAATTTGTACTTAAGTAAGTTTCCACAGGGAGAAATGGCTTTAAGGAAATAAATAAGTTAAAAGTCAGAGAATTCGGGGAAAAAGACCAAAAATCAGGGAAAACTTAGGGAATTTGACAGTGACCCAAAGGGGAAATGCTTCTACCAGTTTGGATTGTGCCAGTGGATTTTGAGTGTTTATGCAGAGTGAATATTACACACCTCTCCAGAGAAAGTAACAACTGGCTTTGCTACACCACCTCTTGACTTCCCAGCAACCTCGTTAAAGTGAAAATACATCTCGTGGATTTTTTGGAAATTTCTCAGGGCAATAACAGGAAAAACTCTGCGAATTTTGTTTTCATAAAGTGCTGAGAACCCAGTAAAGGTATTGAACAACTATTTGCAAACATTCAAAAATGAAATTGCAAAAATACTGCACACAACTTCCTAATGGTACTACCAAGCATCCTGTCAAACCAGCAAGCCTAGCATGCTGGTGTCTTTTTCAAGAAAACAGGGATTACCGTCATTTCCTTGTGATGGTTAGAATCAAACCATCACGAAAAAAAAAAGACTTATTTTCAAATTCTGCTTCCAACTGACCGAAGCTGGTTTTAGTTTGCCATCAGTTACATATATTCGTGAATGAGATTTATTATTTTCTGAGTGACAAACTGGGATCATATCACAAGAGGGTGCGAGTATTAATGAACAATTCGTCATCGACACCACAAACTGACGAATTCAAAAGGGATGGGCTTTCAATGGAAAACTTGCTTTGTGCCGTGAAAAATGAAAATGCATTTTCATAGTTTTCTAGCAAAAAAAAAAAAATTCTACTTGAGCTGCAATTTCGAGCAGCTGTAGTTGTTTATTAATGGTCTGCTTCAGATTTATTGTATTGTTATTCCTTGACTCTGCAAAATACATATTTTTTGTCTTAACTTTAACCCCTGAATGCTGGTATTGTTCAGCCACAGCAGCTGCACTTTTGAGTGGAATGTGTACGTGCAGGCATTTGGTCATTGTCTATGAATGAATGCGGCTATGTGGGGGGTGCCTGGGGGGGGGGGGGAGGAGGGGGCGCGAACATTTTATGCCCCCCCCCCTGCTACGCCGTTTAATGCAGCTATAGCAGTCTTATCGGCTTTCATTGAGCTGCAGCTACAGACAAGGTCGTCAATCACTTTTCAAAAGTGGGGGGAGGGAGGGGGACATTCGTTGATCTGAACTAATGTGAGTGCGAAGCGAAAGCCCTTACGGCGTTGGATTCTAAATGCCCCCCTGACCACTTTAACGCTTTTTTTTAAGCAAAAAATCGTAATTTAAACATCATTTTTCAGTTTGGAGTAATTGAATCAGCTATTCTGAGCTATAGAATCATATGTAGCCTACGATTTTTTGGAGGGGGACGAAAAAAGTGGAGGGGACAAATGATATGATATGCCCCACTTTACAAAGTGGGGGGAACTCCCCCCCATTCCCCCCGTCCGACGCCCATGGCTATAGACGTCACCCGGCGTCAAAGGATTAAAACCTAGACATGAATGGCTGCAAGGACTGACTTACAGGTTCTGAAGAGCAGGGAGGTTTCTGAAGGCGGTGTGGGCAATGCTGGTGATACTGTTGCCCAAGAACTCCAGGACCCAGAGGTTGGGGAGACCGGCGAAGGCATGCGCAGAGAGATGTGTGATCTTGTTGTGGCGCAGAATCCTATGGAAATCGGAGTTCACATGCCGACATTTGTAAGTGAATATTAAAGAGGTTGTGGAATGCTCGAAGACATTTCTGTCATTTTTCGGGTATATGTAGCCTAAGGTGTGATGAAATAAAAACGACTATTGTGTCTGTCGTGAAATGAGTACAAAAGGTACTTTTGAGAGCTGTTTTTCAGGTCCTGTTTCGACCCGAACGTGCAATTTGTGTAAAAGTCGTCGTTGGGGGCAGCAAACAAAACATAGTAAATCGTGACGTAATAAACAGGACTCCCGATGCAGCGTAGTATGAACGAGTCCTGTTTATTACGTCAAGATTTACTATGTTTTGTTTGCTGCCCCCAACGACGACTTTTACACAAATTGCACGTTCGGGTCGAAACAGGACCTGAAAAAAACAGCTCTCAAAAGTACCTTTTGTACTCATTTCATGACAGACACAATAGTCGTTTTTATTTCATCACATCTTAGGCTACATATACCCGAAAAATGACGGAAATGTCTTCGAGCATTCCACAACTTCTTTAAGCGGTCAGTAGATTTGCCGCATATGCGCACGGAGTGGGTTTTGATAATGTGATCATACAAGTTGTCACACATCGTTGCAAGTCAATCACAATGTCAGACGTCGAATGTGACAAGCTGTACTGTGAACAGTGAGGGAATTCTTTTCATTGTTAATTCCTCTGCAAGGTTGGTGATTGACTTATGATTGATTTGTGATTCGCCTGATACAGGTGAGTTCCATTCAACTTTCATTCAACTCAACACTCACCTCATGAAAATATTCCTTCCACTGCACTCATATGAAAACATTAATTACCTGTATATTATTAGTTATCTTGCGAGCGCGTGTGGAACACGGAATAATGTAGTGCGTCTGTGTCCCACATACCACGAGGCCGAAGGCCGAGTGGTATGTGGGACACAAACGCACTACATTTTCCGTGTTCCACACGCGCGAGCGCGATAACAAATTTATCTTCAAGCAAACTTGACGCACAGTAAAGTTGGAACACGCATGCTGTGTAACCTACGCACAACTTTTGAATTCACAGTGAATTGTGCAGCACTAATCGCGTCATGTAGGCTTAGATAGCGCAACATATGAATTCCTTTGGGGAACTAACCCACTGGGCCGGTTTTTATGTGCAACCTCTAGGAGAGAACGCGGCGAAAAAATCATTAAAAACGGGCCTTTTTTTCACATCTGTCGCCACCACTTCATTATTCGACAGGGTATACCTTAGATCTCACTACAGTGTGACCCTAACAATATACTCTTTCAGAAAATGAAAGAAAACCTGAATAAAACACTGAGTTTCACTCGCGAATTGATGTTAAACATTGCATTTTCAGTCAAAAATCTCCCTGTTTTGTGTGTAAACCACGCGTTCAGCCAAGAACTGGTCCAATCATCATAACGTTAAATAGCGCCACCTGGGAGCTTAGATCTCTTGAGTCATTTTTCTTCGTCTCGTCAGCTTTCCAACAATATAACCCTTATTGTGATTGGTTAAGGTTTAGGCTCGCGTGTATTCATTTACTAAAGAATTGTACATCTAAACTCCAATAAAATTTGCCGTTGCTCAATGGCTCAGCGCGTAGGGTCTGTCTATTGTACACGTGCTAAGCAGCGCTACTGTATATACACAGAGCCCGGGAGCTCTTATCTCTATGTGTCCAAGGTCATCTGGCTGTGCGCTTTGGCCAATTTACATGGGGTCAATTTACGCGGAGTGCGGTATGAACCGTGGCCGTGCGGTATGGTTATATGTAGCACGGCTTGTTGCCATGGATCGACCAATCAGGATCGAGGATTCAAGTTTGCTTGAAGATAATATATGATATCATAGTGCAAGGGAGGCGGAAGCAGATTTTTATTGGGGTGACGAATGAATAGTTACCTTTTAAGCAGAGCGGGTTAAGCAAGCAGAGTGTCTAACGACGTGGGGCCAGGGCGCGGCCCGCTTAAGGGCCCCGGAAAACTTTGTTTTTGAGATGCACTCTGAGAGCTTTGCTCAGCTATTTAGGGACGGAAAGGCCCTTTGAATAAACTTTGTTTTGTTTTTTGTTTTCCCTCAAAATATAATACACTTTAATTTCACAAGAGCGGTTCCAGAACACAATTTAGGACAAAATTGCCTTACACACTGCATACGAGTTTGCTAGAATACAATGCCATCACGCGTAAGGTCCAGTCACAAATAACGTCACATGGTCATGGAGCTAATTGGATAGAAGCCAATGACAGCACAGTATTTGCGGTAATTAGCGTTTTTATTAAATATGAAAAAAAAAAATGCAAATACATTGTGTTGAACTTCGTGCATTTTTATTCCTAACACCCAATCACAGTCAAACACTTTTGATCTCAGGCTGTGCTCCGTGGTCATATATGGGTCGATGTGGCCGGCAGCCATAGGCGCCTTTACGTGCAGCATACCAGCTGCCAGTAAGGATGATTAGCCTCCCAAATTATTATATGTTGAAATCTTTGCATTATGAAATGTTACTGCTTGAAACTTACTGGGCTGGCACTGCCACCCCAATACGCTCCACTAGTTTATTTTAGGGTGGCAACTGCCACCTCTGTCCCGCCACCCATGTAGTGATGTTCCCCAAAGTAAAAAAAAAAAACCACATTTATGCTGAGCCGAGTCCTCCAAGTCTGGGCCCTTAAAATTATGAAAGGAGAAGCCGAGATTTGGAAAACCTACACTGACTTAAAAAAACAAACCAAAACAAAAAAAACACCGCAAAATTTACAAAATTTCATGCCACAAAAAGACTCACAGTTCCATCAGATGGCTATTCTCGGCAAATGCGTGGTCGGGTACAACGGGGATGCTGTTGTACTCCAAGTGTAGGATTCGGAGGTTGCTGAGGTGATGCAGCGCAGCCGTCGGCACTTCGCTCAGCTGGTTATGGTCGAGATTCAGGTGGTGCAGGGCGGTGAGATTCATGAAGGCGTCGGCGGGGACGTCACGGATCCAGTTGCTGTCCAGGTGTCTGATGGTGGGGGAAAAAACCAACACAGATTTGGGATACAAATAATTCTTAGACAAGAGATCTCAAGACAAGTTTAATTTTTAAAAGTTGAAAAGAGATTTGACTGGAGCGGAGCTTGAACCTGCGTGCTATGGATTGCCGATCCGGTGCTCTACCAACTGAGCTATCCAGCCCTATGTGGCATGGTTCTGCATTTTGTCAATGTCTATGTTCAACGGGTGCCATAAACCCATTTGCTATTTCCCATGTTTGCAGCATTGCTGATGTTGCTAGCATTGTGCCTTTGGTGTGATCCCTGACTACATTGGTACATATACAAATTGTTATAGTGTACCTCGTTTCTCGTTTGTCCTCGTTTGTCTCTGTGTTTTATAAACCAGTTTGCATTGGAGGACATGATAATTAACATGCACTGGCTGTTTTTATACACAGGCACGGCTGATGGGTTAAGACATCAAGATTGCCTCAACTTGCCTCCGATTGACGTCTAATTACGCTAATCTCTCATGTCTTTTGTACACACACAAAGTCCGTGAAATCTGTGGAGGCAGACCGTGTGTTGATCTTGACTCGGAGTTGGCCATTGTGCACGGCCTATTATACAATTTACGCTACAGTGCACACCCCGGAGTACTGAAATATATGAGGTTTCAGCAAGATATATCCTACAAATACTGTTGAAATGACTCTTGCGAATCAGTATCTGTGGCGTTTGGCTGTATATCAGAAGTTGGCTGGGAAAGTTTGCCTTTTGCAAAAAATGAAATTTTCGGCAAAAATAATCCCAGCGTGAAGTGGTTAAAAAAAGACAAGTTTGAGTTACGGGGTGCAAGGATACAATTTTCTGGACACCTAGACAACTCTGGACAAAAATGTATAGCCAGGAAATATTCCCTCATTAAATTGCTGCCACAAAGACATCAACTGGGTACTGTACATGCACAGGAGACTAATGCCACTTTGACACTATAGGTTGCACAATTCATGATGGTGCTTCTTTCTTAAACAAAATGACTTAATATAGGGCATAGCTTCCGCATTCCCACCCAGTTGTGCATTAAGAAGGGAGAATGGTGCCATGCCCCGTTGCCTGCAAAAAAAGGTGTTTCTCAGTTTTGCCTTCTTGCCGCTACGAAGAGCGCCACCTTTTGTTCGATGGTGTCCAATATCATCTGGTTTGAACAGCACCTCCAACAGTCAGATGTTCCCCCAGTTTTTTAATTTGTGACGGACCGGAGAAGAAAATATCTTCCAGCACGGAGGGACTACTTGGTCTCCCGTCGTCAAAATCCTCCCTACACTCTCAGGGCGCACAGCTATGAGCCCGAGGGTGTTGGGAAGTGCAAATCTGGGCGCAAGTTGGTTGGTTCATGAATATTAATGACGTGAAATACAATAGTCTAATAGGTCTCGTTCAAATGATGTCATTTCCTACAGACCATCCACGTGCATCGGGATTTTGAGCGTCAACTTGCATAACGCGCATCAGCTGCGTTGTATTTCGAACACATTTCAAGCACGCGTGTTTGGAACATTTTCAACACTGTGCAAGGTGTGCTTGATTGCGTAAAATACGCAGTTGCACTTCTCCTACAGAGATGGCCGTCATTGAATGAGCCCTATAATTGTATGTCGCATTGTTATATTATTCATGAACCAACCCCACTTGCACCCAGTTAGCGCTTCCCATGAAGAATGTCTTATCCAATATCACAGCAGTCAACAATAGTGGTTACGTCATATGCCACTGAGGTCACGCATTGCCCGGGTAATATGTCTAAACACACACCCTTACGTATAGCGACAGGCACGGTGCCCGCTTTTTCATCAATTTTTCATCCATCGGAAAAGAAAATAATGACATTCTTCACTTTCTGAACAATGGTTACAGTCACCAACAAAGTACTGTCCCTAGCTATTATAGTCTTATTTTATTCTCAATTTCCCAGAAATTTCAACTTTACCCAAATCACCCGTGCAAATCCTAATTGGTAAAAATGGCAGACCAGGCATTGTTTAGACTGATCACTAAGGGAGATGACCCCGCGTGACGTCACACTTCTACGGCATATTGTTAAGTGTTCTCTGAGATGACTCTTATCATTAAATCACACCACTCTATATAAAAACACCCTTTTGCACAAACAAACGTTACAAGGCATACTTACAATTTTCTCAGGTTGGCCAAGTCGTCGTTGCGGAAGGCTTTTCTTGGGACTTGTTGAAACCGATTGAGTTTGAGATTTCTGTCAAGTGTAATTAACAAATAAAGACATTCAGAATTCAGATAAACCACAATTTGGATGGGTGGCATGCAGTGTTTACCGATGCCAAGGTGTTCTTAAATGCTCATTCACTTGCCAAAAGTGAATAGGTCAATAGTGAATGCCAATGGTGAATTGCCAATGGTGAAAATGTACTAATATCCAGTGGCGTGAGGGGGGTGGGGGTGGGGTTTGGCAGGGTGTGCCCTCTCCCTCCCCCCTGTCTCGGAAGAGTCAACCCAAAAAGATTTAAAATGGATATTTAATTCACAGCTTTGTTGACTTGCGGCGATGAAGAGCACCACCTATTGTCCAATGGTATACAAATATTGAGTGGCTTAGAGTGAAATGGGAGGAATATTATCGCAAGGTAAAATCTGGACTCTTCCATTTCACGAGGCGAAGCAATTTAAAGCCACTCAATATTTGTTTTATATAACTGACATAGATCCTTGTCATTTGATATAATTGAACTTTTATTTCACTACAAAATTGATGGGAAATGTATTTCTCTCTTCCAAACCACCCCTTCACAAAAATGTTTGAACCCCACTCTGTAGCGCTGGCTCTTTGGAACAATATGCGCTATGTGCAACGCTGAACGCGCACACCAGCATGCCTTTGCGCACAAATACCGCGTATTGGAACAAGAATGATCCTAACTGTTCAAAAGTATTTCCCCTTCCCCATATGGGTGGATAGTACTTTTTGAGACCCGGTGTGAATGGGAGTAATAACGAATGTCACGTGATGTGGGTTCCACCAATCAAATGACAAGGATATGTATGTCGGTTATATAATGACCAATATTGTCTGCTTTGTGCAGCACACCTTCAATATTCACATGGCGTTTCCCCCCCCCCCCCATCCACACCTTTTGACTTTGCAACGACCGGCTAACAGAAAAAAAAACAGGGATGAGATTGTCAATTTAATAAAAAATCTGACCATTGGATGATAGGTCTTACAGGTGTATCTCTTTCTATATTGATAATGTCTTTCTCTCAGACTCCATAAGTCTGATTTCAGACAAAAGTCTGAAAAATCTCATGCCTGAAAATAAAAAAAAAAAAACTCCTGGCTATCTTTCAGCACAGTGAGACTGCTTGGGCCCCTCTCAGCAAAATGCTGCATATGCCACTGCTGAAAGTTGGCCTTGTCTGAACCTTTGCAGATTAGCTACTAACTATGAGGGTTTTTGTTTTTTAGCTTAGGCAAACTAAATTTCAATAAATGTTTGGAATCGGAAAGCTGAGATTTCAGGAGGACAAAGGGAAGATAAAAAAAAACCTTTTTTCCCCAAGACAAATGAGGTTTCATGAGCCAAATTTTGGCTATAATTTTCTTTCAAATGTAGTGGGGGGGGGGGGATATCACATCATTTGCCCCCCCCCCCACGTTTTTCGTCCTCGAATAAAAATTGTAGCCTACATATGATTCTATAGCTCAGAAGAGCTGATTCAATGACTCCAAACTTGAAAATGATGTTTAAATGATGATCTTTTGCTCAAAAAATTGGTTAAAGTAGTCAGAAATTGCCTCAGATTGCATCACAGAGCATCTAGAATCCAACATTTTTCAGGGCCCTACAGAGGGCCCAGAACCCCACGCCATTAGGGGTTCGCACTTGCAGTAGTTCTGATCAAGGTATGTCCCCCCACTTTTGAGAAGCAATTGATGCCCTTGCTTGCATCCAACAAACCAGATTCACTAAAAAAAGGTGCCACCTAATCCCTTCTGAGGACAGTTTGCACATCTCCCACACTTCCATATCAATTGGGAAACAGTAATAAACCTGTTACTGTCTATTTCTATCGAGGGAGTCCGGCAGCATCATGTGTCTCTCCAGAAAGAAAGACAGAACGATGTCCTGGGAAGCTTCAATGCCGGTGACACCTCCGTAAAGTGACTGATCACACGACGCGAATTCCCTCGTGTGGTCCGCAGCGACGTGATTTTTATGAGTTGCCGAGCATGAATTTAATCCTAGCCCCCCTCTTTCTTGTGTGTGTGTGTGTGTGTGTGTGCATCTGAGAATAATCACAGCTCACTTCTATATCTCTGTGGACGGGTGAATTACTGCACAGAAAAGCATCTGATTGGCCATCTGCTGCTTTATGTCGTTGTCTGCCGTCGAATTCGCTCGAGCGGCCACGGACGTACGTACGCGCCATTTAAAGATTGATTGCCGATTCACGGCTGATTAATTAAAAGGCATCGGTTGTGTCTGTGTTACGTGTCTGATGCGTGGGCCACTAGAGGACGGGAGGGGGGTTGCAAGAGTAGATCGTTCTATAACCTATGAAGGTGTTAAAAGTGAGTCCGAATGCCGTGGGCTTGTTTACAACATGGCTTACTGGACGACTGAGAGACGCCAACTTGGGGAATTGCTATGATCCGTCGGCGGGGTTAATGCACTTTGCTTAAAGACCGTTTGACAGGGCTAAGTACTCCCAACGCAAGGAAAACCTTCCTGCAGGATTTGTTTTACTAATGGGCCAGGCACTAACAAGAAAGGTAAAAAGTTAGCATCAAGTGAGCGTGGGTCATCTGTCAGGTGTCTGTCTCTTCTTTCTTTGGCATGCAATGACTGAAGATGAATTACCCTGAAGATAACAGCCAGTTAATCACAAGTGACTCCCTAGCTAATGCCACCCATTTTAAACACCCCTGGGTTGTAAGAGATAGGTAGGGTAAAAGAGCTTGCCCGCGAGGACACAACGTAGTACCCCTGCAGCAGCTACGTTTGAACACCTTATACCCTCTGATCTTGAGTCACAAAAACCCTTCACCAAATATTGTTCAGAGCTGGGCAATTCCAATAATACATAAACATAAGTTTATGGATGTTGCATACACAGGGTAGAAGATGAGCTAGTATTTTCTTCGTTTTTTCCCTATACCTTGTGATTGTTGAAAGTGACTAGGACAAGACAAGACAAAAAGATGTTATCTTTTGGGGGGAGAAAATAACAGGCATCTTTTCTGTGTGATACGTACATGTATATGTAACATGGACAGACACACTGCACTTCCAGTGACATTGTTAAGCCATTTTACATTGTTATCAAACCAAAATATAACAGTTTTCACACTGGCTTCAAATTTATGATGTGATTTGGGTTACGTACGAATAAGGACAGACATTTTGTGACAAATGTCCAGTCTGTTCGTACCAAGGGCGGATCCAGAACACAATTTGGGGGGGGGGGCCAAAAAAAATGTTGGTCCCCCAAAAAAGTGGGCGGGCCCCGAAAATTTTTTGGATTCTAGATGCTCTGTGGTGCGATCTGAGGCAATTTCTGACCACTTTAACCAATGTTTTTTTGAGAAAAGATGGTGGTGTACTCATTGCCTGGCTTTATTGCGATGTCACATGGTTTTTTTTGGGGGGGGGGGGCATGGCCCCCTTTGGCCCCCCTGGATCCGCCCTTGGTTCGTACGTATAAATCCTGATTATATAATATCAAATAATTCTTCACATTGACTCTGAGTTTTCTAGGTTTTGACTGATAGCATTCCTCCAGGGTACATCTTCTTATTTAATATTTATTTATTTTTATAAGTCAACATTAGGGTATCATGAAATTTTATGCTTACTTTGTGAATTTATCTAAAATGTCTGTCCTTCGTTACATATGTAACACTTTTTAAAACAATATACTATATTATATACTATATATATCCACTATATTTTTCTAAAACACAATACCAGTTATATCCTTTGCAGGTCAGGATATTTGTTCGAAGCTTGCAATGTTTACAGCAAAAAATTGAGAGACCAAGATCGTGCTTTTATCATCAAAACTTAAATTAAAGGTCTTCTCAAATGTCACAATTTTGGGCCTATTAGTGTGGAATTGCCCAGCTAGTGTTGGGAAGGTTGAAAGAAAAGGGGGAAATGCCCTGGTCCAGGCCCTTGCAAGTTAAAAGGTAAAAGCCAGATTTAAGTCAATATGGCTATGCAGGCAGGTGTTCATCTCTTTTTTTTTGTTAATTGAAGGACCGGCAGTTAGCTGATAATATTTCTATTCCCTTTGAATGCAAGTTCATCGGAAGTTACTGTAACCCCAGCTAATAGTTGTACCCATTTATGCTCCTGAGTGGAGAGTGAACAGTGGGGGTAAAGTGGCTTGCCCAAGGACATAGAATATAGCCAGGAGCTGAATTTGAATTCGTGGCCCTCTGGTCATGCACAACAAACCCTTTCTCATGAAAAATTAAAGAAATAGAAAAGTTTTCGAGGTTGGGGTGAGGAAAGAGAAATATTGAACATATTTTTTCAGTGTTGTTTTTGCATTTGTTTGGACGATCTTCTTTCGTGTAATTTACAAGAAATATATGCATCTTTTTCCAACATAAGTGTTTAAGATTTTAATTCAGGGGCCAGCGTGTAGCGTAATTTGGTAAAAAAAGTGAGATATTTTGCTCAGTCGCAATTGTTGAGACTTTTCCGAGATATTTGCATTCATAATTTCAATATACATTCTTAAGATGGAATTTATGTCGGGATGATGTAATCAATATTAGGTTTTGCCCTTCACCGAATGAATGATTTACAAATTACATCACCTTGATGCGAATTCCATCTTATGAATAGTTTGATTGCGGTACCCGCTGCTACATGTACATCAGATTCAAACCAGCCAACCGATCCCGCAAGCTCGGTGGTCAAGTGGTAAGACATCTGCACTACAAAGCAGGAGGTCGTAGAAAAATTCCATTTTCAATGAACAATGACATGCTTTTTTTCAGCAAGACCTACTTTAACCCAATTTGAAATTGGAACACCCTTGTCACTGTAGGTAACGTATTCCCCCCCCCCCCCAGCACACCCCAATTATGAATTCTGGATGTAATTCTGCCGAGATTTACTATTTTAGTAAATCGCCAGTGGCGTAACTCGGCCTCGGGATTTTCTCCTGACAGCTGGCCGGCTCCGGAACCGTAAATCACACACATTTACTTTGGCCGGATGTCCTCCGCAAATATTTGGGTCGTAAGACATTCAATTATCCGGCGCAAATTGTTCCGCTTTCAACGGGAAATTTGGATGGAGTAGTGGCTGAATTTGCCTGAACAGCAGCGGCGGCAGTCTACAAATGGAGACAGTAAAGTATAGGCCTAGACCAAAATTGCTTTTTAGAGTTTGACAAAAAAAAGAGAAGAGTTGCGTTTCAGAGTTCCATTTCAAAGTTTTCAGGAGTAGAGGGAAATTTCTCGGTTGATGACAGCAAAGCGTCCCCAAGGAATCAGTGACCTCTTTTCCCTCCAAATTGGAAGGAGTCTCGCAGGGAAAAAGCTTGACACGCGAACCAAAACAATTTGGGAATGGAAGCTAATAATTCTGCCAAAACACCTTCCTCCTTGAATTGAATAAAAAAAGGAATGCACTGGGACTTTACCTTTCTGGAGGCCACATTTTTGGTGATGAACTTGCTGAGTGCATTTTTATTACCGGCAGTATTTTTGTTTGTCAAAACAAACCAAACCCGAGCCCAGGCTCCCAGTAGTCCCAGAACTTTTATGGCTAGATGTCCAAAACAGTTAGGGGAAGTGCAACTTAATAAGCCTTTTCGGAGTTCCAACTGCGCATTCATAACCTGTGACAACGCGCATTGTTTGTCTCAAATGGCCTTTGACATCATCGCGCCACTGACTTTACAAAAAGGCTGTTTGTGCATTGTGGGTACTGTCAAAGGGCATTTGAGACAAACAATGTGTGTTGTCACAGGTTACGAATGCGCGCAGTTGGAACTCCGAAAAGGCTTATATAACTATGGCTTTGAATTTGTAACAATGTGGGACTAAATTCGGACAACCCCTCCCCAATTGCACAGGGAGAGTTGGTGGAGACGCATTGCCAGTCGCGCCTTATGGTCACATGAAGAACCTACATGTTTGTGCACGTAACTGGTGTGTACTCTGTGCCAAACACTCGCAAAGTTGTGCGTACGTGAATTATATACACCCCGAGGACAAAGGGAGAACAACAGATTCTTTGTTGTCCTTGAGAGTTCATCTTTTGTTGAAAGCGATCCTCGATAGTGAGTTTCCGTGCTAAGTCTATGGGAGGGTGTTATAAAATTGGTTAAAGTGGTCAGAAATTGCCTCAGATCGCACCACAGAGCATCTAGAATCCAACATTTTTTTGGGCCCTTAAGCGGGCCCTAACCCCACGCTGTAACTTTTTTGACCCACTTTTTGAGGGAACCAAAAATGTGTTTGCCCCCCCCCCCCAAAAAAATTGTGTTCTGGATCCGCCCTTGCCTTGTGACCAGTGAGGAAGGCAGCTGCAGCTGGCGTGTGTAAAACTTGATCAGTGAGTTTCGAATATTCGAATATTCGGTCAAGCGCAGTTTTGAATAACTGAATACTAAATTATGCGAAAATGGACAGCCCTACCATAATGAATTGATAATTCACTTCTTAGCTGCTTTTTTTTCTTCTTTTAAACAGAAATCAACATTTTATTAGACTCACAGGGTGTCTAGGTTTCTTAGACCTCTGAAGACGTTCTTGTCGAGAGTAGACAGACGATTGCCGATCAATATCCTGTAAAAATAAGAAATTGAAAAAGGAATTTAGTCCAAGGTGAGACAACTTTGAATATTTTCTCCTGTAACAACTTTGAGGTTTTCTGCACATTCATATTTTTTCTTGGGGGGGGGGGAGAAATCATACCCAATTTATGTTTATGCTCTGTGCAAAATTTTTTTTTTTTTCAAGTTTTTCAAAATTTATAGGGGTGGGGGTGTTATTTTCTTTATCCCTTCATATGTTATGCAGGGTTGGTAAAAGACAGTGTGGATTGAATTTTCATGAAAATTTCAGGGATTTTTTTCTTCTTTCACTTGTACTCTAAACCAATGTGTGGGGTCGATTTCAGCAGGTTTATTTATACCTCTAAGCTCGATATAACTGGCAAGTAATATGATATAAGTCACCAATTTTAGCGTTAGGACGGGGTTGCGGCATTCACAGCATGAACCAAATATGAATCATTTGATAAAAAAATGCAAAGTTCATATGACACCCACACTTGAAGAAAAAAAAAGGTTGCCATGGTACACAGACCATTCCATTCATTTTGTAGAGGTCGAGCGTTATCTTCAAATTGTAGATTAATTAACTGGTACCCTGATTTCCACCATGGTTAAAACTCAATCAATATTACATTTCAGCGTCAACCAACGGAATCAACAAATGAGTGTTTTACATGTACATGTATTTAATGATTAAAACGGTTCAACCCTCATGAGGAAAAAAGAAAACACCCCTGTGTCAAACGTTTTGGTTTGTTCCACCCTATAAGTTTCTGCGGTCATGTAGGAGTGGGGATACCTGTTGAGGGGCGGAAATGAACACAGGAGGGGCAAACTGAGTAATTTCCAAAAATCAAACCACAGCCTACGCTTTCATAAAATTTTAGCATAAAATTACCCTGCTTGCCTAGGGGCTTACAAAAATAGACAACAGATAATCAATTGAAATACTATTCATAAGATGGAATTTGCATCGGGGTGATGTAGATCAATATTAGGTTTTGCCCTTCACCGACGTATAAACACTGTATACTCAGTGTGTTACCTCCCGAGTGAAAGTTCAAAATCACTAGGGTGGGACTCACTCGGGTGGTACCATGTAGCAGCAGTACCTGCTGCTATATGTACATGTACATAAGATTCGAACCAGCCAACTGATCCCACAAGCTCGGTGGTTGAGTGGTAAGACGTCTGCACTAGAAAGCAGGAGGTCGTGGGTTCGAGTCCCACCCGGATGATTTTTCCAACTTTTACTCGGGCGGTAACACACTGAGTATGCAGTGTTTGTGATGGGCAAAACCTAATATCAATTGAAATACCTGGTGGAAAAATGGCGCACTTTTCAGGTTGGGTTCATTTTTGCAGGAGGCTAACTAATTTTGCCATTATTGAACCATTTAATCAACGATTTGGGGCACACCCCCCCAAAAAAACAAACATATCAGACCTTTCCCTTTGATCCTCGGTAAATGTTAAAAAATGACTAAAGGTATTACAAAAGAACCCAATCAATTTGTCACCGACACCACACACTGACACTTGGTTGCCCGTGAGTACCCGACACTTTACAGAACGGCGTAATTTGAGTTTTCACGAACTGACATCCGTTGCTACATGCCCGCACTCCGTACATTTTCGTTTCACGAACTGAAACGGGTCTTAATATCACCACTAAAAAGGTTTTAATTACATTTTTGTGTAAGCCCACAAGTATAGGATGGAGTAAATTCGTGAAGAAAACAATTCAAAGCATTTTATTTCCGAATTGTATTTCTGCCACATGCTTGCGTTTCAGTTCGTGAAAACCAAAATTATTCTTTAACCCGTCAGTGTACGAAGTGTACCCACACACCCGCGTGTCAGTTCATGAAACCGAAATTATCGATGACAGGGTTTTCACGTACTGATAGCACACAGCGGGTACGTGTCAGTGAATTCGTGTAAAAGGTGAAGAATTGGCCAGAACTTGCCAGTTCCCACACATCACTTTCAATTTTGCAAAGGGCTCATTGGGAACTTTCTGGAAAAAAAAGTTTGACATTTCTTCTACCCAACTTTTTTTGGTCTTTTTTTCCATCTGTACACATACAAGAATTCTTGCAAACTTACAGCGTATCTAGACGAGGCAGATGACGGAAGGCATCTGCAGGGAGGATGCTGATATTGTTGAAACTCAGGTCTCTGCAAAAATTAAAAGAAAGAAAGAAGAGAAAATATGAGCAAAAAATCTTATCTTTAGGTTTCCTGGATACTACGTGCTGTGTATTAAAGTTGTCCTTATGATGTCCTTGTCCAGGGGCGGATCCAAGAGGTTTTGCAAGGGGGGGGGGGGGTCAGGCCCGTCAGATACAGATAATAACCCCTGCAGGGTGTCATCTTTTTTATTATTACTATAATTGTTTTAATTTGTTTTTTTTGGGGTGTCAGAGCAGGGGGGGGGGGGGATTTCCGTTAGTAATTCATTTTTAATTCGGTGACTGGTGCGCGCAAGCGCTGACATGACATACACGCGCACATGGTTGCTACAATTCGTCGGTTCAGAGCATGGCATCGCGTAGCTGCAATCGACTGAATGTGAACATGTCTGGATGCTGATTTCGGGCGCAATTCAAAACATGACTCGGCAACTTTTAAACTGAAATCAAGGTCCTAGAATATTGTTTTCTCAGAATATACAATATTTACTGAGCTAAAACTTCATCAGGTAAGTTGTTAAGCACCCTTCTTCAGATTTTGAGCATTTTTGTTGCTTCAAACGAAAACAAATGCACAAATGACAAGTGATGGATGCTACCTTCAAAGGGAATATAAAACATTTGATTTTGCTGCAATTTTCAGAAATTAATGGATTTGGAGGATTTAGTATGCTATAGCAAATATTGTTAAAATCACTTGGTTCACATTTTAGGCTTGTAGATGCTGGAAAAACCAAGAAAATCATTCGTGTTCCTGTAGTCTATCTTGTTCCCTTAAGATGAAACAGAGCAATTTATAGACTTTGGGGAATTGTTAGGTCAGAGAATCAGTCTAGCATGCTTGTACCCCTTCACAGGTGTGTAATCCATTGCAAAGAAAATGCGGAATATCTAAATATGAAAAATTAGGAGCACTTTTAAAAAAAAAAGCCAGTTTTCTCCAACGCTGGTCGGCCGACCAGCGTTAGAAAAATACCATTTTTCTTGAAAGTGTCAGCACACCAGGAGCCATTTTACAGGATGCTTTACACTGTCATTCCCTAATAATCCAGTAACTTATTTTGTGATAACTTGATCAGTTCGTTTTTTTGATGTTTGCAAATGTTGCATCTCCCCTTTAAAGGACAGAATATCGGCACCGACCCTGTTAGCACACAACCATTAATTAGTGAGGATTTACCCATAAAATAAGTGGAATTGCAGCTTGCAGAAAGCTTGCAGTAAGCACAGCCAAGAAACTGGGCCCTGGTTCTTTTACGAGGCATGTGCAGAGTTAACACCGTCTACATAGGGAAGGCCTATCTGGCATAAAGATTTCTTCGGTCGGAAGATTTATTCATTAAACATTTACACATCTCGCCGACAGCCGACGTAAATTCATCTTGTCTCTCCCTTCAAACAACTGTGCTTTCTCAAGGGATGACCCCTGATCCGATGAGGTCGTGGGTCACATGTTCCAGGGGGCTCTGAGTGTCGGTGTCTCTGTCAAGATTGCCAATTACATTAATGTGCCATGGAGTGGATGCGTCCGGCTTCGTACATCAATCATCTCGTGCCGCTGGATTCCCCACCTCATTTCTCCTCCGGAGGGATTCCGAGGATGCAAGAGGGGGAATGAGAACGTGTTGAGGAGGAGGAACAAATGAGGGAATGTACAAGAGTGAATTAAACCCATTGCACCTCATCTGATGGATGAGGGGTAGCTGAGGGGGGTGGGGGTGTGGGCAACTTCCCCTGCCCTAGATACAGCTCTCATAAGGAGACCAATGGGAATTTGAAGAGGAACGATGCAAATACAAGGCAGATGCAAATACAACGCAAACACGAAGGTCCCAGAGTGCACAATTTTTCTGTTTTGATTCAGATTGATTCAGATTGGTTATATTCATCGGAAGTCTTTTCATGCATCTGGTGTGCACGATGGGCCAAGCGCATCTGATCGACGGGGTGAATACGGTCTCTGCACCCCTGCCCTATTGTGCATGGCAAGCTAATCTTCAAGTAAACCTGAATCCTCGATCCTGATTGGTTGATCCATGGCAACAAGCCCTGCTTCTTATCCATGGGGGGCAACGGGGGCCATGCCCCCCCCCCCTCCCAAAACTAACCCAATTTTTTTTTTTTAAGTGACGTCGCACCACAGAGCATCTAGAATCAAAAAATTTGTTGGGGCCCTTAGGCCAAAAAAAAAAAGTCTCCGGTTTCTGGTATGCGCGCGCGTCGCCGTAGCCATGCGCGTCGGCAAAATGAAAAAGTTTTTTTTTCAATGAAAGATGATGTCTCAAAACCGCCAAACTCACTGGTTTGACTGGAATCCTGCTGCTGCACAATTTTAATGTGTTTTTAGATGGGGTTATGGTCGAGAATAAGCTTTATGTGGCCTCTCTGGACTCCCATATATTGGCACTAAGTTTAGTTGGGCACCATTTGCAGTCATCAGCCGACATTTGAAGCAAACAAATTAAATTTTTTGGACGCACTCTTTGGGGGACCTTGTACCACACTCTGTGTATTGCGCTATTCTAAGACGTGCGCGCCACTCCGCACAACACGCACATGTAAGAGGATAATAAACTTGTGTTCTGAAAGCGTGTCCCGTCTTTACTGCGAGTCAAGTTAGCTCGAAGATTAATTCATCGTCCCACTCACGCTTGTGGAACACAGAAAATGTAGTGAGTCTCCATTTCACATTTGCAGACGCACTACATTATTCCAATTTCCATGTTCCACTCGCGCTCGCGGGATTGCGCTAATAATGTATGCGGACATGGTTGAAACCATCAACACGTCCATCCGGCTAATTGAAATTGTGGGAAAACTATTTTGTAACCCCCATGAAAAATGTCTTGCTAAGCTACGGACTGCCATGCTACACCCAAAGGCATTCCAGATAGTATTTTGGTTTTCTTTTCTTTTGCCTTTTTTCCTTCTTAAATTTCACACAGCAACTGAAAACAATACAGGTCAAAAAGGACAAACCAATGATTTTTGCCTTTTCAAAAGACTGGATATTTCACCCCCCCCCCCCCTCCAAAAAAAAACTTAAAAAAAAGTCAATTTAACTAAAGGCCAACACATGTTATCTTGACGGTGTTTGTCAAATTGTGCAGGATTCGATAGCGGCCAAAAGACCTTTTTTTTGTTTTTGCGGGAGAAATCTCTGGGGATACATGTTAGTATATATTGTTTTCCCCTCTGCTAATGGCGTGGCTAATAAATTTGCACATTTTCTTTTTGATGGCTGGCCCGGGGGTTAGTAGGGGGTCATTGGGGTCGTAGGAACACAAAGTGCATGTTTGGGACATTGTTAAAAATAGATATAGACCAAAGCCCCCCCCCCCCAAAAAAAAAGAGAGTCCTTGTGTTAGTTTGTTTCACCTTTTAGTACATGGTTTCATCAGATGCTAGTACTAATGTAGTGATCTGATGTAAGAAGTCATTTTGCAACCAACAAAATTAGCTTTGTCTGTTTGTTTATGGGGGGGGGGGTACGGATGGTCTGTTTTGAATTCCTCACCTAACCAAATTTGCTGGAGTGGTACACACTTCATCAATAAATCCTAAATAATGACTTGCATATCTTTGAAGCTTGATACAATCTCTGAGAGTAATGTAGTCTGTCAATTTTGTGTGGGGGCAAAAAAAACCTTATCAAACAAACGTTTCAAGGACATACATGATTAATTGGAAATATTTAAAGACATTTATTACGGTGAAACCATCTACCAAATTATTGTCAAAATTTGCAACAAATTTGGTAGGATAAGCTTTTTGTGAAATAATTCCAACTGACAACTAGATGCCGAAAATGAAAATATGAATCATCACGGATGAGCCAAAAAATTACTCAACTCATTTTCTAAATACCATAGGGCCTATGTACATAAGATTCTGTTTTTGCTATAAAAAAAATCAAAGAAAGGCAATGCAAATGATTGGATTCTTAAATGACCCTTCTTCCAGTGACCCTGAAAACAATAATTCAAGAACCCCAGGTGACTGTTGTTCCAGGGTCTGACAGTCAAGTTATATTTAAAAACCACAAAACCCAAGTAATCAAAAAATCAAAGGAACACAGCAAGTCAGGCTTTTTGATCATAAAAAAAATAAGGAATCAGTTTCCACAATTTTTTTTTTTTTACGACTCCTGCCAGTGTGGTGAAATTTACAGCTAACCCCACCGCAGTAGGGGGTAGGGGTGAACGCAGGTACCCAACGCAACGCACGTGCAAAAATGCAAACTATGCCCATACAGTGGCATATAACCATCAATATCAAAACTTTTCCCTGGATCTGGTTTCATACTTTTTTTCCTGGTAGTGATTTTTTTTTGGGGGGGGGGGGGGGGGGCTTTTCCCTCCCCCATACACTTTGATGAAATACATATGTCATCCGCTTTTTCTGTATATGAATAATGCTACCAGGCTTGAAGATCCAGCTGGGAGTTGAAATTACAACTTTTGACCACAAATCTTTAGAAAGAAAAAAATACAACATATTCTTGGGGTTCATACAAGCCTACATTGTCTGGATCATGAAATACACATTGTTCCCCCACCTGGCTTTCATATAATAACCCTGCTGTTAGGATTGTTCGGGTTCTTGCCCTGCGGTGCTGAATTTGAAACTGCCGGTATATTTTTGGATCTTCCCAAAAAGTGCAGGGAGGACTTTACCTCTGATGAAAACAATTTTTTTGTGTGGCTAATCTTTTTTTATGCATTCAAAAAAACTTACAGGAGCATCCTAGATACACTGCAAAAACTGTAGTGTTAATTTAACACCATTCGGTATCTATATAGGACAACACCAGTAAAATTAACACCAGATGGTGCCATATAGATACCAATGGTGTAAATTTAACACTGCAGTTTTTCCAGTGTATGATCTTACACCCGTACCACACCCCATACATTTGTTTTTCCGCCACAATGTGCCGAGTATTGAAAAAAAACTTCAAGTGCCAGGAGATATGAGATACAAAAA